CAAAAAGCACCATTCTTGGTTCATTTTTAAATATAAATGCCAAATCATTTATATAGACTAAAGAGAGAAAGGGACCCAATATTGAACCTTGAGGAACGCCCATATTCATCCCAGAGCCCTGGGAGTTAATACCGTTAACATGAACCTTTAACTGTCTCTCTTCTAAATAAGATCTCATAATGTGGTTGAAATTAGCTTGAACCGCTATCATAAATGTGAAAATTTGTATGTCACTTTGTGTGTATACGCAGTCACATCCAAACTGCTGAAGGAAGCGAGATAAAATTTGGTATAGAGGTCTTTAGTAAAATACTAGCTTTTACCCGCGGCTTCGCTCGCGTTAATAAGTAGCCTATATGACATATACCAGTACATACAGCGCCATCTATACTAATATTTTTGTTTTTCCTAGGAAATATCATTTTTTTTCCGAGATAAAAAGTACCCTATTATTTAATCCAGACTTCTAACTTTACGTCTGCAAAATTTCAAAGAAACTGGTCTAGTAGTTACGGCGTGAAGGCGGAACAAACAAACAAACTCACTTTCCGATATATAATATAAGTAAGGAATAAGGAAAGTAAGGATAGGCTACTTTTTACCCCAGGGAACGCGGGTGAAGCCGCTGGTGTAAAATATTTGTATGTGTCAGTTAATATACTGAGACAATCTCTACTAGTTTGTAGTCACAGTGAGGCCTTTCCTCATGAGCAGTGCACAAGGAGTGGAAACTAGTTATACTTAGTTAGGTATTTACTTTTGTAAATGGGTATTTACAAATAATTTTTGTTGTTTCCCTTAAAGCCAAATCCTAAACCTATAAATGTATTATGATTTGTCTTTAGTGGAGCTTGCTGCACATTCCAAAGTAGGTATAGATTCATGACACAACTGGTAAAACATGGTTGGTGCTGTTCAAGTTGCCGGCAGATGAAACATCAACAGCCTATAACTGCCCACTGCTGACCAAAGGACTCGTCTCACACGAAGAAGGTTTGAGCATTAATAAGCACACTTGCGCATGTAGGTTGGCGATTTCAAACTTATAATTAGAAATTTATAAGCCCAGACTTCCTCACGATATTTTCCTTCACTGTTTGTCAGTGGTATCTAAATAATCTTCGAAATTACATATATTTCTGCTGATGAAATGCTCACATAATATGAAAATTCTAAAACATGGTGAGGGTAAAGGAAAATGAGCTCTAAAGACAACTATTTATTTACTTAGTCATCATGTGTGTGATCAAACGGATCCAACTCTATATAAGTATAATCCGCAGCAGGATGAGTTATAGGAGAATTACGTCTTCTTAGATTTGTACTAGTTGTCATAGACGCATTGATTTTATCATAAACTGTAGTTTCATGTCCATTGTCATATACCCTTGTAGCTGTTGTACTTGTGTCTTCATCAACTGCTCTATTTCTTATAATTACGAGTGGTTCAGTTACATCTTTAGCATTGTTATTTTTTGCTTTAGCTCTCATTTGAACTGTTGATAAAGCTGTTTTACTATCAAGTTTATTATTTGAATCGTACTTCGATTTAATTGTAACTGAGTCTTTATTGTTATTTCTATCTTCTTTGTGTCCAACAATCATTTCTTTCCTAACTTCTTGCACTTGTTTTTCTAGATTACTTACTCTTCTCTCTAAATCATCGTTTACGTTGGCTGCTGTAGTGGTGTTACTACTACCACTTCTGCGATATATTTGTGTATATCTGAAATGAAATTAATATATCGGTGTTGAGTATACAGGCAGGTCTTTGCCTTGAAGCAGGAGTAGAAATGGAATGATGTTTACACAGTAAAAATCTCTCTCGCCTCATTCAAGGTGGGAAAAGACATTATCACAGATTATCTCCCCTCAAAAAAGAGCGTAGAAGAAAGATCAAAAATAAATACGTCATCTACAGTTGACATTAAAGCGTAGTATTTTAGTAGCTTTGTAAATGTTATCTTTTGCCTACAGACAACTTGTTTGTTATGGTATAGGTCGGTAAACGAGTAAGACACCTGAAATACCAGAGGCATTACGAGTACGTAACCGGCCTTTTGGGGATTACTACCTTACTCACACGATGAAACAACGCAAGCTTTGTTTAACGTTGGTTTCCTGTGAGGCCGTGATCATTCCGGTCGAGCCGGCCCATTTGTGCCAAAGCATGCTTCTCCCTCACTTTAAAATACCTATACCCTCCTTCCACTCCTCTCTATACATATAAACATTATTGCGGCCAATCCGTGTAATAACTAAGCTAAAAGCTACATATCGCACAGCTTGCTACGCGAAGTACCTAACTACAGGTGTGTACAGTCTGTCACTCTCAGCACCCCCCTAGCGTGCTACATGTCACGCAGCTTGCTACCAATAACGGAAGAGTATATCTTACCTTGCTCCTCGCCATAGATCAGGATGAAACGCCCTTTTATATTCAAACGTATCGCTACCAGAAAAATGTTTGCCTATCCTATCATTATTCTTTGCTTCATAGTATTTATCATTATCACGAGGTGTCCTTCCTATATTATCTTCATCTTCTTCAATTGAATACTGTTGCTTCTTTTGTCTGTACTTCTTTTTATCTTTTGATTTATGTTTCTTTTCGCCCGTGGCCATCTCATATACTTTATTAATATCATGGTTGTTTAAATGTTTCATTGCATATCTTGCTAAACCTTTCACATACTTTGAGTTCTCGTCAGATGATTGTGGCTTATTTTTGTGTTTTGGTTCATTATTGTTTCCTATTTGATTGGCTTCATCCGTTTCATCGTCTGAATGTACCTCGTCGAAAACTTCAGTAACTAAGGTTACGTAACGGTGCGTATTAAACTCACGTAGTTTCTCCTGGAACTGCTCTATAGAATTGGAAGAAGAGTCTAAAACTTTTTCTGACTCCGGATCTGTATTCTCGTTTTTATTAGCTCTCGCTTCAACACTAGTTACTTGTTCTAAATCATTGCTGGATTCTCTATCTTCTGTCTCTGATATATAAAAGTTAGTAGTAGGAGGTGACACATGAAAATGTCTTGTGTTGAAAGTTGAAGTTTTCGTTCCTTCCATTTGATTCCAAATATTCTGTATTCTTTCTTTCAGTTCTATTTTAGCGTTTACATGTAAATGTGTATAGTAGTCGAATATTAATGCCTTCAGCGCATCCTTTATAACTTCTGGCATATTATCGTCCAATCTTCTAGTTTTCGGCTTGTTGAAATATTGCAATTCATTTAAAATCTTTTCAAATTTCTCTACAGTTTCTGGTCCGTACAAGGAATTGATATAATCAACGAAATCTTTGACTTTCTTGTCATATTTCTCGTCTTTAAGTATATCAGCTACAGCATTTATATTAGCTTTCGTTTCAGAGACCGGTTTACCACTGATCAAGTTCAATTTAGTTTGCAACATCCTTCTAGTGTCATGGTGTTTGGTTAGCTCAGAGAATTTACATCCTCTATAATGATAGTTTTTAACTTCTTCGTTTAAAATGTCGATGAAGTCTCCGAAGGTGGTATCATCATAAGTATTAATTATATTAATCGCTTGTATTATGAATCCAGTGAAGGTTACTACTCTTGGTGTTGTGACCTGGAACCTAGGTACCTTACTTAGTGCTTTAGTCTTTGCTAGAAGGTCTTTGGCGATGTTGAGTTTTCTTTCTTCCTTGGCATGGAGTTTGTCATAGATTGCTTTTTTTAGTTTTAAATCTTTGTTAGTATCTTGAGAGCTCGTTGTGATGAGAGCTGTAAATATTTAGATTATTATCTTAGTTATGTATTATTTGTGTTCACAGTGGGATTAACATAATTACGATTTTATAAGGATCTAGTAAGAAGATAAAAGTGGAAAGTTTTAGTAAAACCTACTCATTCGACTACATAATGTCGAATATATCGAATAGGTATGGTACCTATAAATTTAAGATTTTTGGACTTTATAGATTATAAGGATGTTACAAAATAGCGTATTGAATTCGCATGTAATTTATTTTTCCTAGGAACTCGACAAAAATATTTTATTGAAAAGAAATCAAAATAAATACCGAATATCGTGAACAGTAGAACACAAGCGCACACTTTCATTTTAATATAAAAATACTAACATTTTAATGTATCATAAAACTTGTTATATTTTTATATTTGTAATCCAATAAAATTATTACAACTATTTTATTGACAATAAACATTGGAATTGTTACTGGTTTTAAACTTAATGTTGTTTCAAAGTTGCAGTATTCAGTTCTAGCAAATGTTTTTAAAACTCTCAATTCTGAACAAATTCGTTTGAAGACAGTCAATATTGAAAATGTGCTACAACAATACAATTACAAAAGTGAATATTTCCAACTTGAAACCAATTATAAGTTATAAATAATGCTACCACTATTTCTGTTGTTATTTCTGCACTATGATTTGTTATTTTGTCAGCAGTTTGACGCAGGTTTGTCACAACTATACTAAGGAGCAAGGAAACGGAGCCGCTAGCGTTTTATTCATTGAGAAATCTTTTCTGTTACAAATAACTTTTTTATTAATTGGTAACGTATGTCATATGAAAGGCAATTCAGTTACCTTTACAATGAGAGCATTTGGTTGTAAAACGAATATCATTTTTAAGGTATAGAGGGTTCGATAAAATGAGAAAGAAAAACGTCCGTGGCTCCGCCTCCTTACTCCCAATTGTATATCTTAATGTCATTGTCAATGGTCAAAGTAATACGTCCCTAAAATTATTATTCTGATCGATTTCGGTTACAATGACTTGCCTATCGGAAACCTCAGTTACATTTTACTACAACTATTTTAATGACTAATTAGTACCTCTACTCCACAACAGAAATATTTTTACCATTTGATAAAACTCTGACGAAAGACCACCAACCTCTGGAAGACAGAGCTAAACCGAAGTATGTACAAAGATACGGCCGAACGACTTTAGATCCAGTCGTGTCATCAGTTAGAGACGAAATACTCGATGACTATCGCGTATATATGGCCACGTTAAGTACGAATGTAAAGAAAGGACAGGCTGTCGATGACATAGCAAACGGACCCAATATACTCAGGGAAGGAGACAGTAATAAAGCAAACGACAACACAGCGACATCCCAAGAGACTTCAATTAAAGATTTAGATTCAGAACCTGACAAGAATGAGAAACTGATAAGAGAACTGAAAGAGAGTATGAACATAAAAGATATAGATGTAACTATTTTACCTGATAAACTAGTGACGTCTGATCGAGATGACAGTAAAACGGATGAAGACGATAGAGATGTAACAGAAGATAGCTCAACAGATGATCATGAAGAAGAGAAGGAAACTGCTGAAGTACGTGAAGAAACTACTCCAAGTAAGGATAAAACAAATGAATCCAGTGATGATAGTGATAAAACTCTTATAATGGATGGGATAGACGATACACAACTAGATAAAATTGGTGATATACTAAATATGGAGAGACAAAAGACAAAAAAACAACAGTCAACTGAGACCGAAGATGAATATGTAACAACAACGAAACCAAGAAGAAAAAAAGCGACAAAAACTACAGCACCGGGAAAATACAATAATCATTTCGTAAAAAAAACAATAGCCCATGTAAATAAATTTACTCATTCAGCGTTAAGAAAACACAAATCATCAACGCATAGAAAATTGTATGTCAAGAGAATTACAAAGAATCGAATCACAGTAAGCGGAAAATATACGACAAAGCATAAAAGGCTACACGCTAACAAACTTATAAAGAAATCAACGAATGTACGAGAACTAGAACCTACAACACATATAATTGATGAAGAAGCGGAAACAAGCTCTGGAACTACATCAGTACAAGTGAATATAAAACGTTAGTAGTATCTAAATACTTTCTTCTACTACTGAATGTCAAAAATTATGATTACGGACTGTTTAAACTTATCACTAAAGCTATCAACAGCCTATAAGCAGCCACTGCTGACCAAAGGCCTCTCCTTACACGGAGAAGGTATGAGCATTTACCACCACGCTTGCTCAATGCGCGTTAGCGGTAAGCGATTAGAAATTATCTCACGTTTCCTCACGATGTTTTCATTCACTATACTTTTACGGTAAATTTTGACATCTAATATGTTCAATGTTAAATCTTCAATTTAACTGTTATCCAGGTACGCCACAAACTTCAACCACGATTCTGCCATACTACAAAATGATTGTTGATCTGGATGAAGGGTACATGGTGGTGTTCCTCATCGAGCTGATGAGAATTATGGCCTCTAAAGACAAGGATGATCTATTTGAAGTCCTCGTTCATACCGAACAGATCGTGCTGCAGTGAGTGGTACATAATACCATCTGACATGCAAGTTGAAAGTTGACAATTTAAACCTTATTCATTTCTATTTTAGACTTCATGAAAATGGAAAAATTGACTGGTTCGGGCAGCCTCTCTTAGACATTACAATGAATTTGGCGAAACTCATGACTGAATCTGAAACGGGAGTAATACAAAGTAAGAACAGCTTGACAAAAAGAGTTTGACGCGGTGACAGCTGTAACTAATATTGACTTGGACTGAATCACTCACTTCGGACCATATCTCATAAATAAATAATCATCCGAGCGTAATTCTTTTTATAAACTCGATAAAACTAACAAAAATCAAAACTGGGTGAATCGTAGTGTACCAGGCTAATTTTAGTGATATTCTTACAGAATACGCTTCGAAATTGAATAAAAAGATAAGTGGACGTCAGCAAGAGCTATCTTCTGAAGTCAATACCATCATAGACTATGCTGATATGTTGTATGATGATAAAGAAGGCACAAAGCTCTTCAATGTGCTCAAAGATTTTGATGACTATCCTAACAGTATGTATGTGTGCGATTGTATGATGGCGTTGTGTACAAAACCACGTTGGTTTTGTACACAACGCCATCTATTAGTCGATCCTCGAACTTATTGTAGCGAATGTAACTATTCAAAGAAATAATGCTGTGATTTTGTTTTTTTTTAAATTCCAGCTAAACGTCCAGGCTATACAGTATGTTTAGCATTAATAGAGAGCTTCCTAAATCCGTATCATAGGCTCAGTAAAACAGTTCTACGTCAACGATTGTTAGACTCTATTAATTTTGAGCTAAGAGCTATAATACCTCAATCAGACCTGTGGAAGATGAGTGCTTTGGGATTTTTAGGTATTAAAGAAGGTACGTATATTACAGTTTTTTCGAAATACTGAAACGCCGCTTAAATATTTAACAGCTGCTTCAATTACTGAGCAGCGCTCGTTTTATTCATAAATTTATTTATATCGGGTTCCATTGAGTCAGATAAAACACTATTAGGTGTTTTCGTTTTCTTTTTTCATTCTGAACTATAGCAAGAAATTAAGGATTTTAAATTGTCTCTGGCTTGTGGTGTACATACGTCTCCTTTAGTGCTCTCAATACGTTTCATAGACTATCGTATCTTGAAACGAATTGTGCGGATCCCCGTACCATTCGCTTCGTGCTTGGCAATACATTCGTGGTACCTCTAGTGTTGCAGGTGTACTTAGACTGCGGTGTCCGCTTACCATCAGGACAACCGTAGGCTTTGTTGTGTAAAAAATACTAACGACATAACCGCCTTCTCTTCCACAGCAACTGAACAAACCCCGTCAGTACAATCAGACAGTGACACCACAGTCTCATTCACAAGGAACAAACAAAAGAAATTGACACATAAACTACAAAAGCTGAAGTCGAAACGAAAACATCCGACTATCAAACGAAAAAACACAAAGGTCCAGCCAAATTACAGCAATGAAAATGTTTATAGACGTAGATTAAGTTATACACCTGAAACTCAGTACAATTATCCTTTGTTAAGAAATATGAAGCCGATCACAAGTATACAGAGACGGTACAAAATTGTTACTCCGACACATCGACACATGTCTACACGTAGTTATATAGTAAACCTAATCAGTAGACCCACCAAGGAGTTCACAACTAAACTAAATAAAGCTAAGAATTAGAGAATACTGGATTCCCTTTCCTCCATGAGACAGTACGATTTGAAGCACAGAGACCAAGATCACAATATTGGAAGTGTTCATGACAGAAATACGAATGGCTATCAAAGAAATAAAACTATAAAAAAGTATTCTTACAATCAAATGAGATAGAATACAACTAAACAGATAGCAGCTGCAAGAGAAACTGATTCGCGATTAAAGCATAAAGTCAGATCAATAAACGAATGGGCTGGCTTGACCGGAGTGATACCACCGTCCTAACAGAAAACTGACGTGGCTCGTCGTGTGAGTGAGGTTATTGGAGGCATAATCACCACCCCCTTCCCCAAACTCTCCAATCCCTGAATATCCAACAACCCTCAAATACCGAATCCTCAAAAGGCCGGTAACGCACTTGTAACGCCTCTAGTGTTCTAGATGTCCGTGGGCGACGCGGATTGCTTACCATCACGTGATCCCTTTAATCGTTTGCTGCCCTATTCCATACAAAATATTTATTTCTGAGTATCAACACTCGTTGCAGAGGTCTCGGTATGGATTTTTCGACATTCGTATTGCTAAAACAATGGCACATTGTTTAGAATTAAGACTAGCGTTTGACAACATACTCTCCATAATTTATAATCATCATAACATAACATCACGTTTTTTATTCCCGAAGAAATAGGCTGAAGTGCACATTATGCCACTGTACAATGTAACATGACTCCCTCATTGGCCGAGTGGTCGCAAGTGCGATTCCCGGGTCGGGCAAAGTATTACTTGGTTTTTAAAAATGTCAGTAGTAGCACGGTGTCTGGAAATGTGCCCGGGTTATGGCAATAGGTTCACCCCCTATTACATGGCACTGACAACATAAATAGTGAAAAGTGGGTGTTACATTCTACAGTGGCATTAAGTGCCGAAATGTGCAACTCTGCCTACCCCTTTAAGGATAACATAGGCGTGATGTTATGTTATGTTACAATGTAACACCCACTTTTTACTATTTATGTTATGAGTCTCATGTAATAGGGGGTGAGCAAATTGCCACATACCGGGCACAAATCCAGACTCCGTGCTACTACTGAGAATTAAAAAAAGTACTTTGCCCGTCCCGGGAATCGAACCCGAGACCCGGTAGTCGCTCTTGCGACTACTGGGCATCTACAATTTTACACAAACTTCCGCGACCGCACACGATGCTCATGAGGAAAAGTCTCTCATTGACTCGAAACTAGTAGAACTTTTCTCAGTATATTCACGTGAGTAACTCGTAATTTTTAGTTAATTCAGCATGTCTCACCATACTTATTATAAAACCTTTAATTATCATTAAGTATTTTTTAAATAAAACTATGTGTATTGTTATTTTTCGTTTTATTTCCTCAAAGTCCTGAGTACTGTCAGTCTGATTTAAAAAGAGTAAACATGAAGTTTCTTACTCGCTCTCTACAGCTACACCTCGGATCGAACAAATAGAGCCACTAGAGAACAGACCGACAGACTGACGCTTAGTATCTTATTGGACATTCAAAATTGCCTTCTTGGTCTCACTGAAATAAATGACTTCGACTTTGACTTTGAGTGGTTCTCTTCTAGTTCAGAATTTCTCTCTTCTTCCGTATTTCTTTACGATTAGTTGCAAGATATTTATTTGATGCAGTGTCATGTTTAACATCATCAAAGTCATTGAAATATGGATTTCTGTCCAAACGACTATCTGCATACAAAATGCTTTCTTTCTGATCATCGAAAATATTACCAAATAGTAGATTTTTGTAATTTATTGTCGTTTCTTTAATTTTATTATAATTGACTTTATACCTCACAGCTTTATTATTAGTTTTAGTTGCTGTTAAAATGTAATAGTTGTTGATGACCGAAGTTTTCACTTCTTTTATGTACTTTTTTGTACTTTTTGCAAATTTTATGTTATTGAGTCGAGAAGAGAAATGATTTATGACATCATCAGCTACTTCTTTCTTCTCATTCGTTCTCTTCTTGTTCCGTCTGCTGCGTTTGTATTCTTCTTGGAGATATTTCGATTTTATTCCATTTGTTGTTGTTCGTGCTGTGGAATGTAATTTTATCTTGCATTGTACGTTTATAGTTTTATTACAACTGTTTATAGCAGAGCTAAAGAAGTATGTAAGTATCGAAGAAGATGAATTTTTGTAGTTTCTGTTACCACCATGGGACACAGATGTGAATGTTTCTATATTATGAGTAAACTTACGATCAATTCTAAAAAGTATTCCATTAAGTCTTCGTGTAAGGAATTTATTCTTTAATGCGGTATTGATAGAGTTGAATAGCGTTTGACCGCGCTCTAAATGGCTGAGTCTTCTGTACGGTCTCATAAAACAGTCGAATATAAATTCACAAAGCTGTTTTGCATTTCTTGTTCCTGAAATTAATTAATGATTCCTTACATTAGGTCGAAAACAATGTTTCATACATTCTTAATTTATGAAATGGCAAGTCATCACCAACTGACCCAGAGCGAGACAACTAAACGGGTTGCCGGGGCTCGGAGCAGGAGTAGAAACGTGGTGATAATCAGTCGGTAAGGGTCTGATTCTCCCTCTCGCCTCATCGCAGGCGGGAGGAGTCAATGGCGAAAAAACATTATTTTCGGCCCATTTTCGCCCACTGCTGGACATAGGCCACTCCAATATCCCGGCACAGCTCAATTTTCAACTCTCCGCATCCACTACCGGCTACTGAAACAACGATATCGGCTGTGAGGCTCTGCAGCCGATATCGTCACTTCACTTAGCTGGATGCTGTACCGTCTGAACGTCATGACGTCATCTGGTCTATTCAAATAAATAGTTCACAACCCTGTACAAATTAATGTCAAACTTACCATTAGGATATTGTTCATACTCCATAATGGCATCGAAGAGTTCCCATCCCTCGCCATCAGTGTACAGCAGATCAGCATATTCTATAATGGAGTTCAAGTCAACTGCTACAGCAGTCTTCCTGGTTTGCAGCATATGATACAGCATTGATGAGTAGCCTGGCGGGAGTAAAGCAGCAGGTCATCATTTACTTCGGTTAGAACAACAAGAGTACTTCATCAAATAATTACGCGAGTACGTCGAAAAACATAATAATTAATTTAGTATGTCTAGCCAAAGTTATAATATAGACTTTAGTTCGTTAGCGGATCTTCCCTTTTCTGATTCGGTACCGGCCTCTACTTCTTAAAACCTCTACTTACTTCTAATGTTATTGATCTCTGATATGCTGAGAAACCGGGAAAGCTTCACGATGGTGTCAGCCAGGGGTTGTCCGAACCACTTCAGTTGATCAGTGTCGTACCAACTGCGAATAATAATCAGTTTAGTTCAGTTCGTCTAGCTCGAGAGTATTTGACAAAAGTAAAAATTGAAAATCAGTTATTTTGAAATCAGATGAAGTAGGCACTTGACAAACGTTTAATACCGTGCTCTATTTGCTTGTTCCAAAGTGTAGATTCCTATGGAGAAGAACGAGCAAGAAAATAGAAAATCCATAGGCTACTCTTTTTTAATCGGGTTCACAATACCATTCTTAGTATTGTTTCGTTGGTTCAGTTATCTGGCATGTATCCATAGTTGATGGCGGTGATGGTGACAATGAATACGAACGTATTTATGTGAGGTTCCACTTCCATTAACAGTTCTTTTACAAGTCTCTTATCTTTCTCGGATGTGATCCTGAATATTTCCTGTAGAAAGATGGTTAGAAATCCTTCGTTTCTGTCCTCCATCATCTTGAAGTAGACCTGTCTTAATGATGGAGCTGGCGTGGCGAAGGTTACAATATCTGAAAAAGTTAGATATAATCAAAGACTAGCTTCTGCCAGCAGCTCCATTCGGCTACTGTGGGATAAAAAGAAAAGATAAAAAGAATCCTATGGCTTCTTTTTATCCCCGTTTGTTATCCCCGATCATAATCTACTCCTTTCCCATAATTCATTCCGATCGCCGGACATATATATTCCTTATATAATATAGTAAGATACCGGGCAGCAGCACTCTTTGATAAACCTGAACGTTGTATACTGCGGCCTCCAACCCGCCTGCCTGCGGAGATTATGACAAACCCTCTTATGTAGAGCTCTAATCTCGCTTGGTTGTGAATTTTACTGAAACTTAACACTTCACACTGAGCAGGGAACACAGTTCGGAGAACCGACGGCTGCTGGAGCAGAAAGGTTCTTGAGTGGAGGCCACGTGCTGGCAAGAGCAACGTAGAACGTCCACCCACGAATTGGACAGAGGACCTAATTAGAGTCGCAGAACGCCGCTTGAACCGATCTGGAAGTCAGTGAGGGAGGCCAGTAATATTGAACAGTGGATGATATGATGATGACGATGCTATGCAGTTTGTGATAGTTTGACATGTGATACATACCTTCATATAATACGTTCCCCGGAGTGCCTGGTGATCCAGTAGGTATAGTGGTGCTCGTCAATGGATTGTACTCTGGTGTTTTTCTCAAAATATCATGACTGTCCGTTTTTAGTATAAAGCTTAAAAAAATAAATGAAGTTTTCAAAAACAGATCAAGAGCGACAGTGACTCGACTGATTCTTAAATTAATTCAAAGTGTAGGAGTATTGCCACGCTGCAGCACAAATGGGCCGGCTCGATCAGAGCAATACCAAGGCCTAACAGAAAAATAGCATGAAATAACACATACGTAGTGATTCGCGTAAGCGACGTTGTTGGAGTGCAATGTCTTTGCTCCCTAATTTTCAAATCCTCAATTTACTAATTCATAACCAGCAAAACGCCGGCAACGCTCTTGTGACTCGTCTAGTAACGGCGCTGATTGCTTACCATCAAGTGATCCGTCTCTCGTTTGCCGGCCTATCCCATAAAAACGTATAAAAATGTGTACCTTGCCGTTGCTCTCGTGGCAGTGGACAATTTGTAGTCCACAGGATTGTCTCTGTGTACAGGAATACCTAAATCCTTAATTTTTTGAAGCCATATTTGCGATTTGGACAATGTACTCATCTGTGGCCCTGTTGAATGTACAATAATTAGTAACTGCATCTTTGACTGCCTCGTTAGTGGAATCACAAGTGTGCGGACGGTGAATAAGGGTAGCTCATCGACCGATCAGAACTAGACCCGAGGGTGCGGCGG